GCCGGTGCCCCATTGGGCTTACCAGACCCTTAGTCCTAAACCCATCATAGGCTTGTGTGGACTAAGTTAAACTCGAGGGGACACATTCCCTTATGCCCGCACGGTGAATAAATTCACACGAAGACATAAGGTATATGAATCCCGAAGGCTACTTGCTAGGCCCGCACGGTGAATAAATTCACACGAAGGCGTCGCTTTCACCCCCACTTAAATAGGGTTTGGAGCTCGGGTATAGAGCCTGAGATGAAAACTTTAAAAAATCTGAAATCATTAAAAATGTTAGTACAACTATTTATTTGAAAATAATGAAAGATAAATAATTGGAATCGAATAAATAAATTAAATTTAAATTTACCGTTTTCGCATAAAAGACAACCGAAAATTAATTTCGGCCTGACTCACTTACCTGTCCCCAGCGGAGTCGCCAAGCTGTCGTAACCGTCTTTCGGTTGGACCCGGAATTGGGCTTCGACTTGGAAATGAATTGGGTTGGAGTAGCCACCGACCACTTTAAAATGAATTTAGGTGGGTCGGACACCATCTTACCTGATCTGCGTTGTACCAGAAACGTGTCGGGTTCGGGAGTCGATTACGGTCAAGGAAGGATTAGCACCCTTGAACCGCCCTTTCGGTACCAATTAATTTTCCGGTTGTCTTTAATGGCGAAAATTTAAATTGAAATTTAAAAACCCGATTCAAATTACTTACCTTTGATCAGTTAGAACTTCTCTACAATGTTAAAAATGTTAGAGAACACAAATGAATACTAAATAAATACTAAATAAAAAATAAAAAATAAAATAAAATAGCATAAAATAAATAACAAATAAAAAAAATCAAAGTAACGATAAAATACAAGAATACGAAAAATGATCAAGTAATAAAAATATTAAATAAACCAGAAAAACAAAGTATGAGATGAAATAAAAAATAATAATAAGAGGTAATTAATAATAAATAATAAAAACATATATACAAAATTAAAAATTAAACGTAAAAAACAAATAAAACATAAAAAGGACTAAAATAATGATTAAACCAAATGTAAAATAGTGATTAAAATAAATTTTACATAAATTAAAGAGTCAAATTTGAAAATCATCAAACATAGTGTGCTACATGAATTAGTGACTGAAATTATAATATCACAAATGTAGTGATCGGAATTCAATTCTAACAAACATAACAGAAACGTGTAATAATGGACTAAAACATAATAATTGAAAATAAATGCTCAAAATCATGTAAAACAAAACTCTATTAAAATGCTGAGACATAGCATTACAAAAATGAAAGGACTTGTGTGGGGGTTATACCACGAATGGAAAAACACGGAAATCCCTAGGCTTAAACGACGACGTTTGGTTGTGATATACATATATGTTACTTAAGCCCAACGATCGATTCAACCCTCACATTTTCATACTTACCTCTCCCTCTCTTCAAAATGAGAGAACAAGCTTCTCTCCAGATTCTCTCTATGCAATATTCCCGATCTCACGCAGGCCGTCGCCTGTGGCCGCTAACTGGCGCACCGACCACCTTGCTGACCGACGGCGATGGTGGTCGGATAAACCCAAAGCCCTCAAAACACTCCTCTTGTCCCCAGTAACCAAAATCCTAAACCCAAATACCCTAAAAACCACCCACCAATCGTAGATCTATGCCACAAGGTTCGATTTTTTACCTTTCCGATGGTAAATCCTTCGTTTTCCCGATGTGCTTTTATCTGTACCGACGCGTACTGGTTTTTACGTTATACTTGCATGTGGGTTTCGAATGGTTTTGCTTGGTTTGTGTTTGTAGGTTTTTTCCTCTTATTCTTGACTTGTGGTTCGTTGTTGATGGTGATGTCCTTTGGTTTATTGTTGATGTGGTCTCACTGTTTTGTTTCTCGATCGTTCGATGGCTTTGTGTTTGGTTTACTGTCCATTTGGTTGTGGCCGTATGTGGGTTCTGTTATTGGCTGATGGGTTTCCCTTGGTTCGTTCTTGGTTTACTGTGGCTATGGCTTTCGATCTTTTTTTTTTCCCCTGTGTGACAGGCTTGGTGGGGTATTTATACCCCACCGTTGGTGGCTCATTTCCGGCGAACTCGGGGTCGAACCCGGATATTTCGGGGTCGTTCCCGATCTTGTTACGACCTGCGTTCTATTTGGCGTTGTGGAACGTGCTTGTTCCGATTTTGTTGCCTGTTTGACCGTTCCATTTCCGGTGACACTTGAGATTGCTCCTGGCCGTTGGATTGGGTCAGATCCAACGGTCCAGATCTGGCTGCATAAATGAGGTCTTAGGGTTTTCCCCTGTGCGCCGCCTGTGTTAAACGTAAACCCTATCTCCTTTGGATGTTGGCTATGGGCTGGTTCAGGCCCAATTTGGACTGTTGCTGGACCAAAGCAATTGACCTAAATAATAATAATAATAATAATTAAATAATTAAATAAAAACGGGTGAATAATAATAAATAAAAACAATAAATAAAAACTATATAATATATATTTTAAAACTGTTTCTTTTTTTTTAAAACTATATACTATATATAAGTTTTAAAAAATGTTTTTCAAAAAACTAATAATTTTTAAAAATGTTCTTTTAAAAATTATATAATTTTTAAAAAATGTTTTAAAAAATTATATATTATATATAAGTTTTCAAAAATGCTCTAAAAATTATATGTTTTATGTTTTCAAAATATTTTTTCAAAAATTACATATTATATATTTTTAAAAATGTTTTGAAAATATATATAATATATAGTTTTTTAAAAGTGTTTTAAAAACCATATATTATATACGTATTTTCAAACCGCTCGAAAATTAGTGTCTACAATAATATATGAGTTAAATATTCACGTAAAAAATTTTAGTTTCACGTGGATTTAAGATTGTTAGATGAGTGAAAATAGATGTTTGGAATTGACTTCTTGTTTTTTTTCTCTAACGAATATCTTCTCATTTTATACTATTAATCTCAGTCATTTATTTTCACTTATCCAACGGTCTTAAATCTGTATAAAATTAAAAGAATTTTACATTGTGTAACAAGATCCTATATATATTATTTTCTCACAATTACATAAAAAATTAAATATTAACTAACAATTTTTCATCATTAAAATTTTATTTAATTATTGATAAATATGTTTGTTGGGATTAAATTTGATCTGATTATCATGTAATTGTTTAAAATTAATAAAAAATATTGATTTATTAATTTTTGAAGGAAAACAGATTTTTTTACGTTAAAGAATTAGTTTTTATGGGATAAATTCTAAATTTGTATTTTAGAATTTTTATAAATTATTAATAAATAAAATAAGTAAAATGTTTTTTCAAAAAGAAACAATCATTACTAACATTTATAAATATTTATTTATCATAATCCTAACCTTCGTCCCATATGTTTGTCCGCACCAAATCGCTACTTTTTCGCGCAAAAATTTTCAACGGTGATAACGTTTTCCGTCATCGAAGATGGAACCTAAAAACCAAAACCAATAAACTCAACTTCGTCTTCAACCTCTCAATTATTAGGGTTTCCTGCTTATCAACCAAAAAATAATAGTTATTATATATGGACGATCCTACGATAAGCAAGCAATCTGCTCCATCAACTCCAAGTATCAATGTCCCGTCGATAATGTCCGATTCTTCCCTCCACCTCGAGAACCTTCCATCTCGGACAATGCAGATCAACCTTTTGCTCAATTCCAGCTACAATCGCTCTCCTTCGCGCACAATATACTCCGATAGGTTCATACCCAACAGATCAGGCTCCAATTTCGCACTATTTGACATCTCCAATTCTCCCACTTCAGCCGAAGGAAAGGAAGACGAGTCCGGCACTTATAACAGCCTTTTACGTGGCGCGCTTTTCGGACCTCATACGCCCGATAATAAGGACTCGTCGGAGGTCCCAGCTTGCCGGAATATTTTCCGGTTTAAAACCGAAACTAAACGACCGTTACACTCGATTTCACCTGTCGGGTTTGATGAGTCAGTCCCTGGGATTAACTATAGCCCAGTTAAAGCTCCGAAAAGGTTCCCAAGTCACCTTACAAGGTAAGGAGTTAAGGAAATTTGAATACTTATTTTGTTTTGTTTTGGGGTTAATGTTTGTTCTGCTTTTGTAGGTTTTAGATGCACCTGCATTGCAAGATGATTTTTACTTGAATTTGGTGGATTGGTCTTCGAATGATGTATTGGCGGTTGGGCTGGGGAATTGTGTTTATTTGTGGAATGCTTGTGGTAGTAAGGTCACAAAGTTGTGTGATTTAGGCGTTGATGATAGTGTTTGTTCAGTTTGTTGGGCTCAACGTGGAACTCATCTTGCAGTTGGGACTAGTGACGGGGATGTTGAGGTTCGATTTTGTTTTTATTATTATCGAATTAAAGTCTATGTTGCTGATTATGTTACTCGGTCTTGGATGCTAGTGTGATGTATTTTTGAGTTTTCCAAAATTTTCAAGGAGGATGATATCCCTATGTCAATATCCAGATAAGCATTGGCATTGATGTCGACAAGCTACCAAGAGTAAAATTAAGAGACCAAGCAACACTGTCTTAGTGTGCATGCTTGCTTTCTGATTCTGGCTGTGTTAGTTTTAGCTTTAGGTTGCTACAATTAGATATTGTAATTATGTGTTTGTTAATGCGTGGGCCCAAATAAGTATAATTTAGAATCAAGGAAGTAGTCCTTAGCGAATGAAGTAATGCTTTCGAAGTCGTTTTATATATGACAGAGGCAGAAAGTGTGCAAAGCTTTTGACATTTTTTTCTAGTGTACTCATCTTTGATTCTCTATTGCCCTTGCATTCAGGCTTCTTTACTGTATGTATATATTCAACTTCCTGTGTTTTGCTTGTAGGATAATGTAGTTAGCTTATAACTATCACTTTGTATGTAGATTTGGGATACACCTTGCTGCCGGAGGGTCAGAACATTGGAGGGGCATCGGTTACGCGTTGGGACCTTAGCTTGGAGCTCTTCTCTGTTATCTTCTGGGAGTCGTGACAAGAGCATTCTTCAAAGAGATATCCGTGCTCCGGATGATTTTGCTAGTAAACTCTCTGGTCATAAGTCAGAGGTTAGATTCTTGTTTTGTCATGAATCCATCATCTCATGCCTGTTGATATTTATATCTGAAAATGCATGTGATACCTATCATGCTTGTATTCATTCATGCTAAGCTCGAGTTGTCAATTTCTTACTTTGAAGTCTGTTGACTATTGTCTCTAGGTTTGTGGACTGAAGTGGTCTTATGATAATCGTGAACTAGCATCTGGCGGGAATGACAACAAAGTATGTAATGACGGTTTTTTTCCCCCTGCCTAATCTGTTTTGATACTTTGTGTAACCTTTTAACTGATTGAAGGGAAAATTTGATCCATATGCAGCTTTTTGTTTGGAATCAACATTCCACTCAACCAGTCCTGAAATACTGTGAGCATACCGCGGCTGTAAAAGCAATTGCATGGTCTCCTCATCTGCATGGGCTTCTTGCATCTGGAGGCGGTACAGCTGATCGATGTATTCGATTCTGGAATACAACCACTAACACACACTTGAGCTGCATGGACACTGGCAGTCAGGTGATTTCTCTTTCTTTTATCATATCCTGCCGCTTTAGGATGGCCTTAAATGCGGAATCAGATGGACTGTTTGGTGCATCAAATTTCTTCCTTGATCACATTGATTTAGTTGATCTTTCTCCATCTAGTTCGAAATGTTGAAACAGACTGTTGCAGTAGTCTTGCCAAATAACAAGATAAGGAGTGACCAAAAATTTATCAATCTACATATTTGATCTCAAGTTCTGCTATAAGTTCTTGAATTGTATCCATGGCAAAGTCTTATCATAGAAATTAACAGAATATGGTGCCTCGGTGGTGATTCTCAGTACTAGAACTGCAAACTCTCGACCGTTCTAACGTCCACTTTATGCATGGCAGGTATGCAACCTTGTGTGGTCTAAGAATGTCAATGAACTAGTCAGCACTCACGGATACTCTCAAAACCAAATAATAGTCTGGAGATACCCCACCATGACAAAGGTATACGAAGTTTACTAAAACTGTGTATTATGTATGTATACGTTAATAATCTCTCATCATCTTCTTTTTCCCCTTGGAAATTTCTTGTTTTTTTACTGCAGTTGGCTACTCTTACGGGTCACACATACAGAGTTCTTTATCTTGCAATCTCACCTGATGGTCAGGTAGCTCATTTCTAAACAGATGAAATATGCTAAAGCCCTAGAATTTTAACTTCTCTTAATTTGCCATGGCTGAAATGACTCTTTTCTTGCAGACAATAGTTACAGGAGCAGGAGATGAGACGCTAAGATTTTGGAACGTCTTCCCTTCCCCTAAATCCCAGGTAGTAATACTCGGGTTCCATTCTATCCCGATATCTATATATTCTCATAAATTAGTTTTATCATCGGAATCCTTTCCTCGGAGCTCCCTGCAGAAAGTGATCTCCCTATTTATTTGTTGGAAGTGTCTATAATCTACATTTCTTTGGTCAAAAAGCAAGTTTCCTTTTAGGACAGTTGAATGCGAACTTTTCACTGGTTGCTGCTGTGCCTTTAATGGTTAACGACTGCCTGTAACTGTGAACAATGAACTTTAATGCAGAACACTGATAGCGAAATCGGAGCTTCATTTTTCGGGAGAACCACGATCCGCTGACTTCATGAAGAATATACATGGTATAAGAATTCTAGTGCTATGGATTATCGAACTTTGTCGAGAGAAATGTGCTGTGAGCATTCTCATGCTCTGAAATATCAAATTTGTTAAGCAATCCAATCCAGAAAGAATCAAAAGAATTTGCAACAGGTGCAAGAACTTACTGCTTGTTTCTTGCAAATCACTTTTTTTCTTTTCTTTTCTGGAATCCCAGATTTCTTTTTCTTTAAAATGGAGTTGATTGATGTATATACTGAGAGGTGCTATCAATTTTCCTTAGCAGCTCCCTTCCACTGTAAATCAAAGCAAGCCGGAGTTATGTTATTCGAACTCGGATGCAAGTGTTGGACACGAATATATATATATATATATATATATATATATATATATATATATATATATATATATTATTATTTAGATGGTCATATCTCCATATTTAGATTTTCACATGTATTTTCCAACTATGCTGTTTACTTATTGCAAAAGTTAAACAAATCTGGACCCAAAAAACTGGTTATGTTTTCCAGCTATGCTGTTTCCACATTTTGAATGCTCAGCAAATCTGGACCCAGAGAGCTGGTCAAGACCCATGGCAGTATTCGATAATTCAGTTGCATTTTGTTATTAATTTTATATTATTATTATTATTATTTAAATTTTAAACTTTAACTTTTAAGGTGATAATAAAACATAATAATTTTTTTTAAAATTAAAAAATTATTTTTTAATATTCTTAGATGATTACAAGATAGTGTTTATTTAGATTTGTTATACCCATTAATCATGCGGACACTCGTAACTGTTCAAATTAAAAGAGAAAACACTTTCTTCTTATCATTGAGGTCATTTAATAAGTTTTTAAAGTCGAATGATAAAAACGTAATATTATTAATAGTATGATGCCCGTAGGTTTAATTTATCTAAGGATAGTAACACAAAAATATATGCGGATACGATAAGAAAAATGCTGAATCTACTTTTTGCAGATAACAATCGGTTATTGCGGGACAAGAATTTGAGCTGCTCCACTGTTGACAAACATCAGCAACTATGGAATTTGGTGTAATTTATTCGTTTTATCTGCAAATTTGGTGTACATAATCCTAAATTTAACCATGTCCATAATTATATATAAATATATATAATAGAATAAATAGTTGATTATTTTGGGGTTTGTTGCCGGCAAAATGAAACCCGCCTTAAATAACCCTTTCACTCTCATTTTCTCCACTACCTTTCTTGTGATTTTCTCTCTAGAAGAAGAAAGTGCGTAAAGGATATATATTTTTGTTATACTACAGATTTGTTGCTTTCTTCTTCGTTTTGTAAAGTATTATCGTTGCTTTATTCATTTGTTTCAAAGCAGCGGGAAGAAATGTCCGGCGTTCCCGCGCACGGTGACGTTTCATCGTCGCTTTCATCTGTAATCGAACCCAAGGGAGAAGAAACAGTGAAAGAAACACATAATCAAGAACCACAACAACAACAAAAGCAAGAAGGAATCAAGGATTGCATGCACAAGACTAAGGCAATTCAGTTCTTAGGTCGTACTACGCCGATTATTCTCCAAAACGACAATGGACCTTGCCCTCTCCTAGCCATCTGTAACTGCTCTCTCTCTCTCTCTCTGCCGATTTCTAGGGTTTTAAATTTTGTTCTGTTGTTCGTCTTTTGTCGTCACATCGTTTGCCTTGGATATTCGGATTGAATATTCTTTAGTTCGTTTATTTTGTTTATTTATTTATTTAATATTTCCGATTTTAGTAAACTGAAAGAAGCTGAAGAATTTTGATTAGTTTTCTATTGATTGTTCTCGGAAGTGATCACTGATCAAGTTTCCAACATTTCTATTGTTTGATTTTGTTTAGGGCGTATCGTTTTAGACCTTAGAGCGTGAATGAAGGAAGAAAAAGGATAATATTTAGAAATGGAATTGTCTTTCCATCAATTGAATTAGACACATGATCAAATTTCTAATTGAAATTGTTATATTCCTTTTTATTTGTGGAAATTATAATTGGAGCTAACTGAATAACTTAAAATGAACCCGGGGGATTGTGACAGGTAATGTCCTCCTTTTAAGGAACAATCTGAACCTGAGTCCTGATGTAGCAGAAGTTTCACAAGAGAAATTGCTTTCACTGGTGGCCGAGCGACTCATTGATTCCAACAGTAATGTTAATGTAATTTCTTTCCTTCTTTATGCTTGCTTCCTATGTTTACTTGGACTCAGGTGTTAAGTGTTGGATATGGCCGCTATGTATCCGGCTGGAGTAGTATCTTCTAGAGTCTGAATATGCCAGACACGAGTACTTCAAGTAAAATGAAATGTCAAGCAACATGGCTTAACTCATTTGCTTGTTGCTGGTAATTGAATAGTATGATGATACTGATGAATCATTTTGGCATGTAGAACAAAGATGCAGGGTTTGTTGAAAATCAACAGCAGAATATTGCAGATGCGATTGATTTACTTCCACACCTTGCTACAGGGATTGATGTAAATATTAAATTCAGGAGGTTAGCTTTGTCCTTTCTTTCTCTTTTTATTTTTCTTGGACAAATTGCTTCCTTTTGCAGTCCTTAGTGAATTATTGTGTACAACTTGCAGAATAGATGATTTTGAGTTCACTCCAGAGTGTGCCATATTTGATCTGCTTGATATTCCCCTCTATCATGGTTGGATAGTTGATCCCCAGGTAAGCTCTTTTTAACATTGGGGGTTGTTAGACCTGCAGTTCATAAGGTCTACACTCGTAGAAGCAAGGCCGACAATCTTATTTAGTACACTGTTGTTTATATTTATTACGCATGGATGGTTTCTAGTAGTTACCATCAGTTGTGTGTTTAGTTTAGGTTGTTTATTATTCCTCAGCAGTTACTGACAGTTATTTTTGGTGGGTTATTTGTACTAAAAAGAAGGAAAGACGGGGAATTTTCTGGTTAGTTTTGGGAGGAAAAGGTACCTCGAAGTACCTTGTAGGCAGGTATTTTCACATGTTATAAGTTACCACTGGCAGTAAGTGTATTTGAGTTATTCTCCAGTTTTCTAACAGGAGTACAACAGCTGAAGCAATGTGATGAAGAATGTATAGGTTCTTATCTGAGTTTTGACTATGGTTCTGTTATATGGTGTTTAACTTCCATTTTTTAAATGATTAAGGGCTGCAATGGTAAACTATAGTTCATGCAAAACACAAATAACGTTTTGATAAGGAACCCACACAAAGGTGAAATGGAGTATATAACCATAGATATTTCAACTTGTGCCTGTAGCTTATTTGGCTAGACCTTCATTTTATGTAGTTTTCTTTATCAAATTTTTAAAGTTTGAGATTGAACTAATGTTAGTATGGATGCCTAACACATATATGATTATGGGTTCAACAGCAAATGATGTTTTTGGTTGTTTGATCGAAAATGTGGCGGAGAGAGGATTTTGGAGTTCTGAGTAATATCACATTTCTTTCATGAATTTAGTTGGAACATGATTGGATGGAGACCATTAACTTTCTTGGTAGAATAATTAAGGTGAAAAATCAGTAGTCATATTGGGAACGAATTTTAGTTCCATGCTTTGAAATGAACTCATATGGTT